CCACCCTCCAGCCCCCTGCCCTCAGCCCCAGGTCCCTTTGTGACACCGTCTGGGAGTCCCGGGCACCCCTCTGGCTGCCCTGGCAGGTCTGGGACCCTGGCAGGGCTCAGGAACCCCCTGGACAGAGCCCCAGAGACACTGGCTGTGATCTCTGGCCATGGAAAAGAGTTTTCAATCTTACAGCATGAAGTACCAGCTCTGAGTGTTTGATATCAGTAATAATTAGTGTGGAACGGGTGCAAAAGTAGAATTTTAGGAATCTAGATTAGGGGTTCAAAGGAGGCAAGATGGAGGAAATTGGGTGTGCCTTGTCCTTTTTCTCCTTCTTCACGCCCTCCATGTCTCACTGTGGTGTTGGCATTTTTCTGTTCGTTCAGGCTGGGCACACACTGTCCAACGTAGGTGACAGATATTGGCACGTTCTTGTAAATCCAGCCCAGGGAGTTTCTGGTATTGAATGTTTGTCACATCCCACTGAGGGCAGAGCCCCACACGCTGCCCTGCAGGACAGAGCTGGGCAGGGCAGCAGAACATGTGAGAGATCAACAGAATAAACAAATTTGAAAACCAGCAGAGACTAATTATGACCCCTTCTTTGGCAGCGGGGCTCAGAGACTTTCTACGATCTCGGAATCATCAATGCCACGGATTCCCACAGCACCGTGCAGCCCACAGACGTCGTCCCTGCCTGTTTTATTTCGGTGCTGTCCTCCATCCAGGGCTGCACTATCCCCACGAGTTCGGGCTCCCATGTGGGGCTGCAGGGAGCCAGAGGTGGGCGGTGGGGGCAGTGAGGGATGGGGCAGGGGCGGGATGGAGAGGAGTGACGGGTGGAGAGAGGGCGGGAGAGGGGCAAGGTGGGCTGGAAGAACAGACAGGGTGAGAGGGGGAGACAGGGACCGAGAGGAACAGGGCTGAGGGGAAGATGTAAATTTGGAGGGGGCACCCCATATATCCCAGACCAAAGGTGCACCAAAATACAATCCTGGTTGCCGGGGCAAAGCCAAGCACCTGCCGCAAACTGGCATCAGGAACCTGGGCTGGCGAGTTTTCTTTCCCAGGGAAAAGGGCCGGAATTTGTGTTCAGGACCCTGTAGCCCTGAGTTGGTAGTTGCCTTCAAAAAATCTGAATGGCGCAGGATGTGTCCCAGAGCCAACCTGCCACCACCTCGAACTCGTGGTGCCTTGACAGTCCCAAGCGCATCCTGATTATAATGAGCCCGGCGACAAACAGGGCTCTGTGATAAACTGCCACCCCCGAGGGTGCCGAGAAGGCAGCGCCGTCCTTCCCCCTCAGCTGTCACCCAGAGCATCGCCTGCTCCGGCCCCTCGGGTCCGGGAGCTCCGTGACAGCGCGCTAATCAGCGGAGCGTTAATTAGATCGCTTTAGCGAGCCGGGGCTGTTCCGGCGGCCGGCGGCGAAAAGAGCCGACTGCCTCCGGAAACGCCCGAATGGCAGAGAGCGCCGGCCGCCGAAAGGGGGCCGAGCGTGGACGGAAACACCCGATCGAGGGCGGAAAAGCCCGAGTGGCGCAAAGTGACCGAGGGGCGGGGAGCTCCGGCCTGCGAGCCCTGATTGGCCGATCGCCCCGGGGGGCGGGGCGCGCCTGGCCGCGGCGCGGCGCGGCGGCGGCGCGGGCTCAGACGCGGCGATGGCGGCGGCCGGGCCGGGCGCTCCGTGCGGGCTCTGCAGCGCTCCCGCCGCCCCCTACACGTGCCCGCGCTGCCACGGCCGCCTCTGCTCCCTGCGCTGCTACCGCGCCCACGGCCCCTGCGCCGAGGCCTTTTACCGCGACCAGGTTCTTGAGGCGCTGCGCGCTGAGCGCAGCTCGCCGCCGAGCCCCGCGCTGCCCGCGCTGCGCGGAGGACGCGAGCCCGGGGATGCAGCGCGGCCTGCGAGCCGCGGGCTGTGGGAGCGGCTCGGCGAGGCGGAGCGCGACGGGTTCCGGCGGCTGCTGAGCTCCGGGGAGGCCGCGGCGCTGCTGCCGCCGTGGCGGCCGTGGTGGTGGCGCGGCCGGGGGCGAGTGGAGGAGCTCGGGGACGGCTCGGGGGCCGAGGGGGAGGAGGAGGAGGGCGGCGAGGGTCGGCCCGGCCCCGCGCCGCCCGTGCCGGCCGCGGTGCCGCCGCTGAGCGCGCTGCGCGCCGCCGCCCCGTCGCCGCTGGTGCGGTTCCAGCTGCCGAACGCGCTGTTCGGGTACGCCTTCGCGCTGAGCCTGCACGGCGGGGACGAGGCGCTGCTCCCCGAGCTCCCCGACGCCGCCGTCGCCGCCTCGGCCGCGCTGCGCGGCCGCCGCCCCTTCGCCAGCACGGCCGAGGCGCTGCTGAGCGCCCGGCGCGACGCCCGCGCCGCGGGGCTGCCCCTCAGCCCCCTCGGCGACAGCGGGGCGCTCCTGGCCGTGGCGCAGCTGCTGGAGGGGCGCGACGGCCGCGACCCCGGCGCCGACGTGGCAGCGGCTCTGTGGCACCTGTGGCGGCTGCTGAGAGCGGGGGCGCGGGCGCTGCCGCCCCCCGAGCGGAGCCGCTTCCGAGGGGCCCGCAGGAAGGTGGGCTTCCTGCTGAGCTGGAGCCGCGGGGCCACCGAGGAGCTCGCCCAGCTCGCCCGGGAGGCGCGGGAGGTTCACGCCGAGGTGGCCGCGGAGGAGGCGGCGGTGGCCCAAATCAGGGAGGGGCTGGAGAAGGTCTGGGGGGGCCCCCGGCCGCCCCCCAGGGAGGAGCGGACGCCCTGGCTGGTCACGGACGGGGCCCGCGTGGAGAGGGATGAGGAGCTTCTCGGGGGTCCCCCGGCTGTCGGTACTGACAAGGGGGTGCGGGGCCGGCAGCTGATCGAGGAGCTGGACTGAGATGGGCAGACCCCAAGGAAACAGCCCCGGGAGAGAAGCAGCCGGTTAAGGGACGGGACTGATGGACGTCCGGAGAACCAGGCCCGGGAAAGCTGCTCCTTAAGGAGTAGGACTAACGAAGGTCCAAGGAAACCGTGCCTGCCGTGACTCATTAAGCGATGGCACCAAGGAGATCCCGGCTCATTAAGGGCTGGACTAAGCAACGTCCAGGAAACCAGTCCGAGAAATGACACTCTTTAAGAACAGGACACACCAAGGGAGGGGATTAACGAGACCCCGGGGAAGTGGATTCAGGAGAGAACCTGCTCATCGGTGATCCGGACTGAGGCAGACCCAACGAAACAGGCCCAGAACCACTCGTTAAGGGCCAGGACTAACGAACATCCCACAAAACAGGCCTAGGAATGACGCTCATTAGGGATGGGACTAACAAGAGATTAAATACCATTTGGAGAGATCTAGAATTAATTAATGGTCTGGGCTAACAGAGGGCCCAGGAAAGTGGCCTGGGAAAGCTGTGCAGTAAGGGATGGATGAGAGTAACTGGATCCCAAAGAAACCAGAGACCCTTCTTGTCGATGACCTGCCTAACAAGCTCCTTGCGATAATTAATGAGTGTGGGCACTGGTTTATGAACAGGGCACTACTTATTAGAAGCGGGTGCTGATGGATGTGGGCATTTATTCATGCAGGAGGCAGTGATAAGTGAAGGGGAAAACTAGTTAATGAAGGGGGGCACTAATGAACACGGCCATTAACAAAGAAAAGAAGGGCAGACCCCAAGACTCAATGACAAGATTTTTTTTTTTCCTTTATCCACCGTAATGGGGCTGTGAAACCCCCTGTGACCTGGGGGGCCCTCAGCAGCTAGGGGCGTCCCAAGGGGGTCCCTCAGTTGATTTGAGAGGTCCGTGAATTTGGCAGTGTCAGTGGTTGGGGGTGGGAGTTTGGGGGGTCCTGAAGGCGTCGCAGTAGATGGGGGGGTGAGCTTGGGTGTTCCACAGGCAACGTGGAGAATCCCAGGAGGGTCCCAAGGAGTCCCTCTGTGGATCTTGGGGTCGCAGGGGGTCTTAGAGGAACCCTCAGTAGACGAGGGGCAGCAGCCGGTGGGGGACACGCTGGCACAGGCCCCCCCAGGCCCCCCCAAAGCGGCGCCGCTGCCGCCGCTCCCCCACGAGTGCTCGGAGCTCGCGGAGCACGGCCCCCGCCAGCAGCAGCAGCAGCGGCGGGGACAGCCCTGGGGGGACACGGGGGTCAGGGCCCAGGGCTGGGGGGCTCTTGGGCAGCGGGGAGGGTCTGGGTGTTGGGGAAGGGAGCGGGGAGGACCCAGGTGTTTGGGGGGAGATGCCCAGGAGGTGCCAGTGGGGCAGGGACAGGACATCTGGTGTTTGCGAAGGTCAGGGGAGGTCCCAATGTCGGGGGGCTGCAGGGTGGGGGGAGGTATTTTGGGGTGTTCAGGGTGTCTGCGAGGGTTTGGAGGGGCTCGGGTGTCTGGGAGGGCTCAGGAGGGACACAGGGTTTTGGAGGGGTCCCAGCCAAGGAGGGGTGCCCCAGCAGGGTGAGGTGGGGTCTCACCGCAGGGGAGGGTCCAGCCCAAGGCCATCAGCAGCTCCCCGAGGTCATCGGGGCGTCGCACGAGCCCCCACCAGCCCCCTGCCAGCAGCACCTGCCCTGTGGCCGTGGGGACTGTGGGGAGACCTGGGAGGGAAATGGGAGTCTCTGGGGTCCCAGATTTGGGGATCCTCAGCGGTTTGGGTGTCCAGGGCTTGGGGGTCTCACCGGCCACTCGAGGGTCTCGGGGGTCATGGCTGAAGAGGCTCCTCTGGGTGGTGGCACCGTGGAAGATCCACAGCCCCAGGGCTGGGGGAGAAGGGGAGGGAGATGTCAGGGCACTCCAGACTGCCCGAGACTCCCCCGAGCTCCTCACTGACACCCCCCAAATCCCCCCAGTTCCCCCTGAACCCACCCCACCCCCATTCGGCCCTGCTGCCCCCCCCATTCCCCCAGTTAATCCCCAGTGCTCCCATGAACCCCAGTTCCCCCCAGTTCCCCCCCAAATCTGCTCCAGTGCTCCCCAGTCCCTGCCCAACTCCCCCAGTGCTCCCCTGTGCCCACCGTAGAGCCCCCCACAGGCAGCCCCCCCGGCTCCCCCCAGCCTGTTTTGGGGTCTTCGCAGGAGCAGCAGTGCCGGGAGGGGACCCCCAAAAGGGCCCCAGGCCAGAGCCCCGAAGAGTCCCAGGAAGCCCCCGGGGCTGGGGGGGGAATTCCTGCTCAGCTCCTGGGGAAGGGGAAGAGGTGAGAGCCCACAACCCCCCTCCCCAAAACACACCTCACCGCCCGGGGGGACCCCAAAACCCCCCGGAGACCCCACAGACGCTCCCACTGCCCCCATACAGCCCCCGGAGCCCTCCCGTGTCCTCCCACCCCCCCCGCAGCCCCCCAGCCCTGCCTCCCCCACCGGGTCCCCCTGGCCGGGGGGTTCCCTTTGCCCTGGGGGTCCCCCCTTGTCTCCCCTGGGGAAATTTCCCCCCCGTGCCCCTCGACCCCCCCCATGTGTGGTTTCCCCTCGCTCACCCCCCCAAACCCGTGCGGTCCCCTCCACATCGCCCCCACCGCGCCCCCCACCCTGAGGCGCCGCAGCACCGGGACCCCCTGAGCGGCCGCCACGAGCACGAGGGGCAGCGACGGGGACCCCCAGAGCCGCTGCTGCTCCCCCAGAGCTGCCGCCAGCACCAGCAGCTGGGGGGACATCGAGGACACGGTGGGGGCAAAGGGGGAGGCAAAGGCAGGGGGACACAGACGGGGAACAACGGGGGGAAGAGCCCGTTAACCTCCCGGGCCCGCCTCTTGTCCCAGTGCTCCCAGTCCCTCCCAGTTTGCCTGCAGCAGGCCCAGGCCCCCCACCCCTCCGTTCTCCCCAGTACCCCCCGCACCCACCCAGTGTCCCCCAGGTGTTCTCCCAGTCCCCTGCCAGTGCCCACCCACTCTTCCCCCAAGCCCCTTCCAGTCCCCCTGAAGCTCTCCCAGTTCCCCCCAGTTGCTCCCAGTTCCCTCCAGTCACTCCCAGTTCCTCCCAGTCACTCCCAGTCGCCCCCAGTGCCCCCCAGTTCCCCTCAGTCACCCCCCAGTCACTCCCAGTTCCTCCCAGTTGCTCCCAGTTCCCTCCAGTTGCTCCCAGTTCCTCCCAGTCGCCCCCAGTGCCCCCCAGTTCCCCCAGTGCCCCGTACCCAGGCGCAGAGCCCGACCCGCTCCCAGTGCAGACTCTCGGGGGGCTCCAGCGGGGACCCCGGTTCTGCCCCCATGAAGAATTCATACACGAGGTGTCCTGGAGGGGGAGGGGGCGCAGCCTCAGTGCCCAGACACCCAGAGCCCCTCCGGATGACCAGAGCCCCCCCGGATGCCCAGAGCCCCCCCGGATGCCCAGAGCCCCCCCGGACGCCCAGAGCCCCCCAGCCTGGCCCCCCAGC